GAGTCCCCACCCCTGGAGGGGTTTAAGTTTTGGACTCCATGATCTTGAACGATTCTAAGAGGAGAAGGATGTTCCTCCTGGTCTTCTCCATGGACCTTTGCAACCTCCCAGCTGGGCACAGGTGACCCACAAAAACACCTTCTGAAGTCTTAGAGCTTGAAAACACAGGTTGAGATGTAATTTTTGTGCATAAAGTCTCTAGTGGGACCATTCCAGACCATCTAGTAGAAGATGGGAGGATCACTAGCGACGAGGACAGAATTCTGTGTACAAATAAAAGTTGCCCTGTCTTCATCCGTGCCATTTTCTATAAATTTTCTGGAAGAAAAGATGTTCTCTTGTGAATAATTCTATATTTTATTATCTTTTCTTCTCTTGACTTACCTCATTGAAGCACAGGCACAAGGGCTGTCACTTCCTCCCCTCTTCAAGATTCCACATTCAATTAATTTCTCATTAGCCCGCAGCATTTCAGCACCTCTGAAATGAAATGAGAACTTTAAAAGCTTAAGAGTCTTCAATAAAACCTTTGAGCCTCTTGATTTGTGTTTTTCAACCAGAATTTTTTCCACCATCCAGCAGCAAAAATTGAAAGGTGCATTTTTGGACACTTCCACTATTGACCCCAAGTCCCAATTTCTTCAAAAGTGTTTATTTCAGAAATTTGGGGGTTATCCACAGCTGAATATTACAGTGACTATGACAAGCATCTTTCTAGAAACAAAGGTGTAGTTTACAGATTTGTTTAAAATGGAAAATAAATATTTTATAAGCAGTATTTACTGTCTATCATTCAACTCCTTCTACAGCAGCGACACCTTCTGCGTGGTATCAGTACCCCCCAAACCTCCCCCAAAAAAAACACAGACATTGCACTGTAGGAGCACTTTTTTTATATAGATCATTTTTTCTTCTCATTTTAACTTCATTCCAAAGTTTTTATCCACTGGCCTTGACGTTGGGGAGTAAATTGGGGAATTTATTACCATGCTGATTTTCCAGTGGAATAGGTTCTGAAAGAAGGCATTGGAAATGTTTGCATTTAAAATGGAGGAGGATTTGTTTCAAGGGCCTCCTTCACTTCTTTCTCTTGCAGATGGCACCAAGGGAGGCTGGTAGCTTGCCAAGATTTTTGGTGGTGGTGTGATTTCAGCCACAGGATCAGGAACATGCCCACGTTTTGTGACCGTTTCACTGGGACAAAGTCATCTGAGATCCACTGGGAGAAGCTGTAGGAGCCAAAAATGTTCATGATGCCTTGAGGGCTGATTTTTTCCTCTGGTCAGCTTTACCAGCTGAAGATAAACCAACCTCAGCCACAAAAATGCAAAGAAAAGAGAAAAAAGATGTAGAAAACAACCCCTCCAAGCAAATTTGTGGTGGAAATGAAGCGTGTACGTTGTCCTGGATGCTTCTGACGTGGCCCAGGGGGAGGTGTCCCTGCCCATGGCTTGGGGTTGGAACCAGATGGTCTCTGAGATCCCTTCCAACCCACACCAGTCTGGATTCCATGCCTGAACTCCCCTTGGAAGTGTTGGTTTCACAGTGCTGGTGGCTCGTGTGGATTTGGTGTTTTTCCAGAGGATGAGTATTTATTTTTTCTTTTTATATTTTATTCCCAATCGTGGTTTTTTTTTTCAAGATACATGATCCAGGTGAAAAATCACAACAGGTCAATATTTTTTCCCCTCCCTAGGAACCTCAAAGTGGTTTTCAGACCTCCTCCAAGTGAGATTTTTATCCTCAGGCTTCCAAATCCACGGACAAACTCTTGATGCCAGGACACTCCAACTATTCCCATGTTTTAATGCTTGTTTCAGAGAAGCAGCAGGTGAGGAATCAGTTCCCTTAAGTAACAGCTAAAGGCACCGAGTGGGGAAAATGCTCAACTTGATGAATATTTAGGAATAAAGACAGAGCTGGGAAAGAGCCAGCTCTTGAGAAGCTATGTTTTGAGTTAAATTTGCTTTTTAAATAAAAAAGTGCTAAAAAAAAAGGGGGAAAAAGGTAAAATTGAGCACAGTGATTTGACAAAATGAATATTTTAAAGCCAACTTTTTTCAAAGTGCTAACAGAAAAGGTAACATATATTAAAGATAGAGGTGAAGTACCCAGTTTATCTCTCCACTTCCAGCTGGCTTTTAATGGCTAAACTTTATCAAGCCATGAAACCCCAGTTCCCAGATATCCATACCAAGATTTTTTTATGAAAATCTCATTTTTTTTTAATGTATAAATGACCCTGGGAATAACCAGTGCAAGGCCATTATCCCCTAAAAGGCCACGACCCACGTTTTGAGGGTGAGCTCAGCAGCAGAATCGTTGTGGGAGAGGATTCTGCAGCATTTCTCCTGGATGAGAAGCATTGGTTTCATCAATCCAGTGGGAATCACACTTGGAATAATTCACATCAGAGAGAGAGAGGTAGAGAGACCTGAAGAGCCTGAGAAGAACCTGGTGGCCTAAGGTGAGTTCTGAGAAGCAGCTGGATGTTGAAACCACCTCATGGAAAGAAAGACCAACTTCTGCTTGGCATTCTTAACCTGGGATGATGACTAGAGCATGGGGAAAAGGGGAGGAGATAGAATTATTCAAAAAAAAAAGATCAATTCTGAGCACTGCAAAAACATTCACTGGCAAAATATTGAGAGGTAGGTGCAATAAATAAAAATATTGTAGCTGGGCAAGGGACAGAGGACCCTGGGCTTGCTGGGGGCTAACTGGTGGCATTACCCTTCTCCTACCTGAAGGGGACATGAAGGCACTACTCAACCTGCAGAGGAGATGCACACGCTCCAGGGCTGGAGTTTGGAGGTAGTGCTGGTGCTTTACAAGCAATAAATTAGCTTCTGTAATTAAGCTGGGTGATCACTTCTCCCTCAGGAACGGCCTCGGGCGTGTCCTTCACTGGTGACAGCTCTCCAAAACCATCCTCCCTTTTGAAGCCTGTTGACCCCTTGGGGGAGACCAACAGGATTTTTCTCAGCACTTGACTTTTTTTTTTTTCTTTAAAAATGTGCTTTTTGGAGAGTTAATATACATCTATAGTACACACAGGACTGTTACAGTTTGTCTATACATCATTATATACAAGATGTTGGACTCCAAACGCCCTCCTCTTAAAAAGCTGACAGCAGCATGGTGGGATTTAGTGTAGCTTTAAAAGACTTCTTTAAAAGTCTTCTTCTGGTTTAGCCCTCTGAGCAGATGGGGTGGTGGATTTGCTGTTTGGAGATGATTTCCACCAGTTGAAGTCGTTGGATGGAGAGATTTGGGGTTGTGGTTTTGAAAGCTCCTGAGCCTCGTGGAATGGCCGAGACTTCAGGAGCTTCTGTGAGCACAGAAGCAGGTGAAGGGAAGATCTACTTGGGCCAAACCCCTCCCTTCCCTTCTGGTTTAAAATTAGGAAGGATTTTTCATCTAGGACTAACCCACCAAACTCAGGCAGGGCTGAGGAGCCCAATATTAAAACTGGGCTGCCTGAGGGGGGCTTAGCTACGGGTGAGGGTCTGACACAGGCCAGGGAAGAGCTCTGAGAACCCTGACAGAAGTTTTTGGCTTTTCAAAGCACAGGGAAAGGCCAGAGGAAGGCTCAAGATGAGGCTCCTCTGTACTAGGAGCAGAATATTTCCCTAGGATGCACCCTCTGCCAGTCACTAACGTTGATTTTTTCATGGAAGGAAGTCCAAAACTGCCCATTTCTTTGAATCCCTGTGAAGCAGAGGGTGTGGGTGGGAGGAGCAACAACATTTCTCAGACTTGTGACCAACTCCACGTTGGTGGAAGGAAGCAGCATCCAAACCTTAACCAGTGTGAGAAAAGCCTCCTGGCACCTTCTGCAGTTTCCTTCTCCAACTCGCTGTCGTGGCAGGAGCAAGAACAAGAGGCAGAATTCAATGTCCTGTTAGTCATACTTAACCAACCCACCTAATTATCAGCCAAATTACACGTCCTTTGAGGCAGCAGAAGTGTCCTGGGCTTTGTTTTTTGATTTACCATTTCTTCACAGAGCCCTGTGAAGATCAAAGTTGGCTTTGGGAGATGATCATGAGCTTTGAGCTTAGGCCAACGTCAAATCAAGCAGTAAAAAATAAATCTACAGGTCAAGTCTCCTTCTGTCTGAGCTGCAAATTACAAAAGAAATTAAAATCACACACAGATCAGTCTCTTTGTTTCACTGTCCAGCTTAGCCTCCATTTATTCCTGTGTATTGGTTCTTCCATCAACCTCTTGGCTCCAGATCTCAAGAGCTCCTTCAACTCCTTGTTGGGATCTTTCCCTCTTCACCGGAGGTCTCTGGGTAGGAGTGGTGGGTTTCATGTTCCTCTCTTCAGACTCTGTTGAGGAATTCCAAGTGGAGAGCAGCGGGGAGATGAATGGAGTCCATGGTTATGGAGGAGGGGTTGAAGGGGAACACCACGGGGAACGTGTGCTTGAAGTCCAGGAGGAGCTGGGGAGGGTCGTTCCTCTCTTGCAAGCGTGCCTGTGAGGTGTGGGAGAAGAAAACAAATGAACACCAGTGGTTAAACCTTTTCTTTGCCTTCCTCATGCTTCCCATCATCATGAAAGCTTTGAGAGTTTTGGAGGTGGTGCAAAAACCAGGGAGGACTCTTCTCCAGGGCCACAACTTTCCTCTGAGGAAATATTGAGAGGAATCTCTATGCTGAGCACAGGAAACACCCCATCAGAAACATGCCTGAGTTCATAAGGACTGAATAAAGATGTCATTGGAACCATCCCCTCCACCTCCCAGCCCTTGCTGCTACCTGGATGTCTCGGATGAAAGCCACAGTCACACGTTCTTCAAACTCATTCACTGGAGTGTAGAGATTGAGAATCCTGACTATCTGTTGAGAGCAAAACAGAGTTACAGAGGGTCAGGGTTTTTTTTTTCCAGAATACAAAGTGCTGCTAACAATTTGTCTTGATATGGCCAGAACAAGTCTCCTAGGACACTCCTGAGAAGCAGAAGGAGCCCAAGAAGCTTCTGCTCCCCCCAGCAGGGTGGGCACAGGGCAGGGAGGGGATCCTGCCCCTCTGCCCCACTCTGGGGAGCCCCCCCTGCAGTGCTGGGGCAGCTCTGGAGTCCTCAGCACAGCAGAGCCAGGGACCTGCTGGAGCGGGGCCAGAGGAGCCCCAGCAATGCCCCGAGGGGGGAACCCCTCTGCTGGGAGCCCAGCAGGAGAGAGTTGGGCTGGGGCAGCTGAGAGGAGAAGGCTCCAGCTGGGGAGAACTTCTTGAGGCCTTTCAGGCCTTCAAGGGGGCCTAGAAGAAAGCTGGGGGGGAACTTTTGAGCAGGGGCTGTTGGGACAGGACAAGGGAGGATGGTTTGAAACTAAAAGAGGGAGATTTAGACTGGAGAGAAGGAAGAAATGTTTGACCCTGAGGGTGGTGAGCCCCTGGCCCAGGCTGCCCAGAGAGGTTGTTGATGCCCCCTCCCTGGAACCATCCCAGGTGAGGTTGGACAAAGCTCTGAGCAACCTTCACTAATGGGAGGTGTCTCCTCGTCAGTGCAGGGGGGGTGACTAGATGATCTTCAGAGGTCCCTCCCAACCCAAACTGAGACACTACTGAGAAGCAGAAGGAGCTCAAGTATCATCCTGCTGTTCCTTTGCCTCCTGTAAGGCACAGACCTGTCCCAGTCACTTCTTACAGCAACGTTTGTGAGTTGGGAATAGACCTGGAAAAACATCCAAGGTGGGTTTAAAATCCCACGTTTCTGATTTATACCATCAACTCCTCAGGCCTGGGTTCCACCTCTGCAGATTTCTGGAGCTCCAGCACCCCTCAGAGTCTCTGCCAGAGAGGAGCCACCGTGGCCACCACCTTTGCCAGGGCTCAGAACCTGAGCTCAGAACCTACCTGCTGAGTTGTGAGGGCCGTGCACAAGGAGCAGATGGCCTCAGCATCTTCTGAGGTCTTCTTCTTCAGCTGCAGGAGCTGTGCTGCCTGAATCAAGGGCTCCAGAGTTTGGGCTGCTCCACTCTGCTGCAGGTTCTTCCCACGCAGCCATTCCTCCAGCTGGCTGATGTTAAACCTGGGGGAGCAACCAAGGGAAGAGGTGAGGTGAGATGTGGCAGCTCAGGACTCTTCTGAGGCTCAAGGTGTGTTGCAGTGATGCAGGAAGCTTCTGGTGATGGATTGTGACACACATGGCCAAGGGGCAACCAGAGCCACATGTAGAAGGCCTGAGCCTGTGGCCACTCCCAGGCTCAAGGGGAACATGACAAGGATCCATGTTGGGGAGAAGGTGCCCAAAGGAAGGTTGAAATCATTTACAGCAAGAAGGAAGTTGAAGGGTTTACACCAAGGCTGATAAATTGGCCCAACCCCTTCTTGGAAGGTTTGCACTAGTTAGGACCAGCTGTCCTTCAAAATGTCACAGAATCATCAGAGGGTTTGGGTGGGAAAGGACCTTTCAAGGTCACCCAGTCCAACCCCCTGCAGGGAGCAGGGACATCCCCAACCAGAGCAGGTTGCTCAGAGCTCCATCCAACCTCCCCTGGGATGGTCCCAGGGATGGGGCAGTGACCACCTCTCTGGGCAACCTGGGCCAGGGGCTCACCACCCTCAGGGTCAAACATTTCTTCCTTCTCTCTGGTCTGAATCTCCCTCTTTGAGTTCCAAACCATCCCCCCTTGTCCTGTCCCAACAGCCCCTGCTCCAAACTCTGTCCCCTGTCCTTCTCCACTGGGCTGCTCTCCACCTCTCACTCCTTACTACACCACCACTCGTGACGTTCAAACCAGCAGGCACAGCACCATCTCCTTGTCCTATCATCCCCCACCTTCTAAACCCACCAAAACTCCCTTCAGCAGATCCACCCCCACCCCCAGCCCGTGTCCCACCTCAGCTGCATGCCCGTGCTCCACGAGCAGACATCCTTCCTCAGCAGGAGGTTGTTGAGGGCCACGGCGTTGATCATGTAGAAGAGCTGCTTGAAGACCTGCTGGATGATCTCTGGGTCCAGACCTTGGTCACACATGATGCTGTGGAAGGTGTTCAGCTGGTGAATCATGGTGTCCAAGCTGTAGGAGGTGTCCTCATCTGCCGTGCTGGAGGAGCGGTTCCTGGAGCCCATTGGTTTGACCCCAGAAAGCCCCTGGATACTTTCATTTTCCAACACTGCAGACACTGAAAAAAGGGGAAAAAAAGGAGCTAGAAGTCCTTGGATCATAGACTCATCAACTGTCTGGGCTGGAAGGGACCTCCAAAGGTCATCTAGTCCAACCCCACGCCATATGCAGGGACATCTCCAACTAGATCAGGCTGCTCAGCCAGCCTGGTCGGGAAGGTCCCCAGGGATGGGGCCTCCACCACCTCTCTGGGCAACCTATTCCTGTGGCTCCACCTATCAGCCACCAGAGGTAAGAACTGACCCCCCCGTGGGTTGGACGATGGATGTTGGCAGGTCTGAGAGGAGGCCATGGCCCACCAGGGATCATATGGAAGAGTTGAAGGACACAAATTAAATGCTTGTAGGATCAAACATGGTTCCCCTTGGTGTTGCTCCACAGAAATCACCATGCTGGGGGCACAGCTCTCTTGGGAGCTGTCATTCTCTCTCTATACCCACCAAAAAAACCCTTGTTTTGGTTGGGAGGGACCTTGAAGAT